GTGTGGAGGCGAGGATCTATGAGCTCAGCATGGGGAGCAGGCTGAATCTACAGGGAAGCTAGGTCTGCAGGTATCGATGACCCCAGCCTGGTGGGGGGTAGAATAAGAGGAATCCTTGAACTTGTGGGCTGACCAGCCTTGCTAAAACAGTGAGCCCCAAGTTTAGTATCAGAGACCTTGTCTTAAAAATAAGGTAGAACATGACAGAGGAAAACATCAAACATTAACATCCAGCCTCCATGTACACACAATGTATCCCCACATACTCACATGGACATATCACATATTAAACAAATATATTTTCTAGAAAATACTGAAGTGTCTGTAGAAATGTTTAGGGCAAAGACATCTCATTTTCTTTACATGTTCACAGCTGAAGAGTTTTTCCACTGATTGATACCCTTTAGCCTATTACCCAACTGAATCAAATAAAGGTTCTTTTGTTTGTTTTGGGCTAGAATGACTGCTCTGAGTACTGTTACCTTAGTGAGCATGAAGTTAGCAAGGCCCTCTCTGGTTCCACGTGCATGGGTGAGTCCCCCTAGTGCTTCTTTTAACCTAAAATCTTATTTTTATTGACGTGTGTGTGTGTGTGTGTGTGTGTGTGCGCGCGCGCGCATGGGTGTAGGTGATTCAGAGGCCAGAAGAAGGTGTCTGATCCCCCCAAGCTGTAATTACAGATGGTTATGAGCCACCAGGCCTGGGTACCGGGAACAGAACTCCAGTCCTCTGGAATAGCAGCTAGCACCCTTAATTGCTGGGTCAGCATTTCAGTGACCACCCCTGCCCCTACCCCTAAATGCTTCAGACATTTTAGTGTTCCTAAAACCCTGTGATGCTGCAGATGGAGGAGGTACGGGCTGGCTCATCTGTCTGCTCCATTCAGAAGCAATGCTGGAGGCACCCAGCCAGTCTGGCCCATTCAGAAGCAGGCTCCTTACGAGGGAGGCACGGGTAAGGCAGACATGTTAGTTGGAGTTTTCTAGAAAAGCTACCCCTGCGCTACAGATCAGAAGGGCCACTGACTAGCCTGCCAGATGGAGCTGGCGGTTGAGTTAGAATCCTGCAGTCACAGAGTGAAACCTATCTCAGGCTATCTTTACTCCCCTTTACTTGCTGGTTTTCACCAACCTCAGGATCCGACTTAACATCCTTGAAGGACCAGGTGAAACCTTTGCAATGAGCTAAGCGACTAGCAGACCCCTGGTTTCCACCAGGCCAGAAGCTAAGAATAACATCAGATAGGGTGTGAAATCACCTGGGGGAGAGATTGCTCTGCTGTGTCGGAACCACCCTGCCTGGTGCCCCCAACAATGCATTTACTAACTGTCTCCATATTCTGCTGCTATAAAAAAACTGATGTAACCATTCCACTGTGGACACACTCTCCAGGCCGACCTGTATCTGTGTCCCCAGATCACTCCCACTCCTAGTTCCCTCAGAACACTCATTCCCTTTGGCACAAGAGATGCTGGTTTGGGGAGTTTGGATTTGCCTGTTTTGTTTGTTTTTCTTTTTTTGGCAACACATTCAGGAGGCATCTGGAAAGAAGGGGTTTCAACTGAGGAATTACCTCCACCAGACTGGCCTGAAGCACTCCTTCATGGCTTCTGCTTCCATTCCTGCCTTGAAGTTCCTGAGATGGGTTCCTTTCCTGGATCCCCTCAATGATGAATTAACAATTAGAAATGTAAGCCCAATAAACTCTTTTTTCCCATATTGCTTTTGTTCATGGTTTTTGTCATGGCAATGGAAACCTAACTACTACGGCTCTGTTTTACATAGACGGGCTCTGTGCAATTGTTAGGGACTCCGGAGTCTTGACAATAATCCTGAGATGCCACCACAGCACTAATCCAAAAGCTTGGTGTGGCCATGCCGACAGAAGACCATGCAGCCCTGAGCAAGCTTTCTGTGGCCAGAGTGTGATTACTCAGTCACTGATCTGAGAGGCCCTGCCGCCCTGCCACTCCTATTTAGCAGCTTCCTGCTGTGCTCCTGAGTCAGAACAGGAACAGCACGCCTAATTTGTAATATTATCCAGCAACATAAGGGCTGTGGTTAGCTTTGATTAGAAATCCTAGACTCAGCACGCTCCCTTTGACTGGGGAAGGTGTGGGGGGAGAAAAGAGAGACGGAAAGAGGTACATATTAAAACAAAGCAAGTCTTTCCAGTGTGCCTGTGGTGTGGTACCCAGATATCTGGATGCTCTGTTCACAGGGAAACGCAGCTGTAGAACTCAGATGTCAGAATAGACCTGAAGCCAGACAACACTCCTTTAATTCCAGCATCAGGGAAGCAAAGACAGAAGGACCCCTGGGACTCAGTGTGCAGCCTAACCTCCTTGGTGAGTTCTGGGCCCTCAGAAGACCTTGTCTCAAAAAGGCTGGGCTGGGAGGTGGCTCGGAGGATAAAGTGCTCATCACACAAGCTTAACGACCAGAGTTCAGATCACTAATGCACTTGTAAAAGCTGGGTAGGTCTGGTGCCCATCTGGAATCCCAGCACCTGAGAGGTGAAACAAGGGGGGGATCAAGAATTTAAGGTCATTTTCTTCTATCTAGTGAATTCTAAACTGTCTGGAACACATAAGACTTTATCTAGATAGGATGGTAGGAAGAGAGGGAGGGGGTAAGAAACAGACAAATAAACACAACCAAGAGATGAGTAGACAGTGAGCGCCTTTGGTTCTGGCAGTTCAGGCAGAGCCGGAGTCTTGTGAGGGCCATGGCGAGATGCCCCAGCAGGTAAAGGGCTTGTTGCACTCAAAGCGTGAGGAACAGGGTTTGGATCCCCTGAACCCACACAAAAGCCCGCTGGTGTGGATGTGCAAACCCTCGGGGAATCCCAGTACTCTAGCTGCAGAGATGGGAATCCCAGAGTGAGATGAGCTCAAAGGTGAGCACTGAGTTCAGGGAGCGTCTGCCCCCACGTACAAAGTAGAAGGCGACAGAGAAAGACAAGAGGTGTCAACCTTGGGCCTCTGCGTACTCGTGCACACACATGTATCCACACATGTGGAGATACTCATAAACACATGCACACACACACCACAGGCACACATATTAAAAATGAAATAGATAAATGTCTTGCAAAGTTGGCATGCTGTCTCCCAGTCACAGGGCAACTGCACTTAAAAACATCTTCCTTTCCTACACCTCAGACTGCACGTCTGTCCTGTCACCCACCACGTCTTGCCTGACGCATGGCTGTCACCTGGCCATCATAACACACCCTCTTCTACTTTGCATTCTGAATTTAGATGAGTACCGGGTAGGTTCTCAGGGCTTGCAGCTATACAGATCTTCAGAGATGGGAAGAGAGATGTGTTCAGGACAGCTGTGAGGGCTGGGCAGTTTCAGGCTAGTGCACCCCCTGTTTTTAAGGCTTTCTCATCCCCCTTTTCCTTGGCCAGTGCAGGAGGTACTGAAACCACCAGGCAATGCGTGGAGCCTGGCTTCAGGGGTGACGGCTTTTGCGGCAAGCAAAACCACCAGCTTTTTAGCATGTCCAGGCATGCATAGCCTTCTGACATGCTTTCATCCGAAAGCTCACGCTGGAGAACCACATGACCAATCACACACAAAATGAAATAATTAACAAAGTGCAGACGCACACTGTACGAAGTCTGAAGTAAGTGTATGACATTTCTGTGGTCTGCATTCATAGCCGTCCTACAGGCTGCGGGTTGGGGATGCCTGGATGGATTTCTGACTAGATGGCAAGGTCTCTCTGTAATCTGTCCCTTCCTGTGAAGGGTCCAGCATGCAGCAGGTAGACAGGTGGAAAAGGCCAGTCAAACTGTCTGTCTGACCATCTGTTCCTCCATCCACCCATCCATCCATCCATCCATCCATCCATCCATCCATCCATCCAGAGGTTGGGGCATCTGGAGGTGGAATAATACAGGCACATCAAGCCCTCGGAAACTGCGTGCACCCAACACTCACTTTTTAAAGGATTTGTGTCAAGGCCTTGGCTATTGATTGTGACTGGAAGTCAGCAAACACAAGAGGGGGAAAAAAAACATTTTAAATTGTAAAGCAAGAGCTCTGGCGGGAACTCAGTGCCCAAGGCCATGAGAGAACTTCCTGGGAGTCACAGAGAGGGTCTTTCTGGACTATGGAGCCGATGATGCACTGCACACGTCTATCAGGCTCCCGCAACTGGACTTTTTAAATGCTGTTTTATTTTTATAGAAATAAATGAATGAGAGGAATGTTTTGAAACATCTCAATGCCAAGAGCAATCGTGTCTAATCTTGGCACTCAGGAGGCTGAAGCAGGAGGAGTCCAAATTTGAGGCCAACGTGGGTGGTACATAGTGAATTGCAGGCTGATTTGACCAGCATGGTGACTATCTAAAGATAAGTAAATAAATAGATATACAGATTAATTAGTTCATTAATTCAAAGTATCTCAGTAGCATATTTGGCTATACTCACTGTCTATCCATAGCTCCATATAGAACAATTTCTTCAGCCAGCCCCCCAAATAAGTGACCCTGCTTCACAAAGCAAGGCAGATGGCTGCTGGAGCATGATGTTCAAGGTTGGCTTCTGGCCATCACATACATGTGACGCACACGCACATATACCATGCACACTCTCACATATCTATGCATACACACAGAGAAAATAAATTTTAAATAATAATAACAATTCACATTTCTAACAAATCTTCAGTTGCTGCTGCTGGTGCCGCTGCCGCCTTGAAAAGAGACCTGGGGAACCACTGCTCTGGGAAAAAACAAAAACAAAAACAAACTATTCCCCAACACCAGATACCAAGATAAACCCTGGGGAAACAAATCGGAGAAGGGTGAGCATGGACCCTACTGCTTCCTGAGGACCTCTGTCCTCCAGTGAAATGAGCACATGTGCTCTGAGCGTGCTCCAGAGCCCTGCAGAGCAAGCCCCCCACCCCCAGACTGCAGCCAGAGAGGACAGCAGGGCCCAGCAGGGCGCCCCAGGAGGCTGCAGGCAGAGAGGACAGCTCACCTTCTGAAAAGATGATGTGGTCGTTGCATTCCTCCACGTTGCAGGCACACATGAAGAAAGTCTCGCCGGCCCTTTTCTTCTCCTTCATGATGCACTTGGGTGAAGTGGCATCTTCCACAGCAAACCCGTGGTAGGTGAGCTTGGGATCATGGCACACCGTCTCCAGTGTAATGTTCTCATCATTCTTCCTCCTGGGGTGCAGAGGTTCGGCGAGGGGAAGAGAGAGGGGCAGAGAGATGGGAGAATGAATGAATGAAGAGGCACTGGATGGAACAGCCAAGTGTGTCCTTTCTTCAGGAAGTAGTTTCCACTTCCTGCTCCCCAACAGCCTTAAGTTCTCCCATACTCCCCTGCATCAACTTCGCCCACCTCCCTTCATCTTTTGCTCAGCTCAGAGCTTACTTAGGATTAGTAGCGAGACAGCTCTCCTTGGGCGATCTCTACCTGAAAACTCAGGAATCAGCCTTACTAATTTTTATACAGAAAAGATGTGGGAAAGAGGGTTCCTGTGGACCTGCATCATTTCAAATCTCCCACTCCTGGGGTACTTCAGCCTCACACTGTGCGTCTAACTTTTGTGGCAGAGACGGTGTCCTGTCTAACCAGAGAGTTCTTAAAGAGGCTGCCTAGGGATGTGGTGGTAGAACTTTTTGTCTTTGCTGTGCATGTGTGTGTACATATAATATGTGTACCTGCGTACATGAGCATGTGGGGGCCAGAGGTCAACCTCAACCACTGTTCTTCAGGAGATGTCCAGCTTGATTACTAAGGTGGCATCTCTCTGGCCTGGAACTGGACAATTCAGCTAGGCTGGCTGGCCAGCAAGCCCCAGGTGCACTCTTGTCTCTGCCTCCAGAGTACAGGGATTACAAGCGTATGTCACCATATCTGGCTGTTTCTGGGGATCAAACTTATGTCCTCACATCTGTACAGCAAGTGCTTTAAAAACTAAGCCATTTCTAAAGCCTGTTTGTTCTGCTTGCTGGTCACAGGTCACTCTGGTCACAAAACAAATCCAGGTGGTCCTGTTTGCTGGTCAAAAATCAATCACTCTGTGTGTGTGGAGGTGTGGGGGGGGGCACAACAGCTGGTTCCCAAAACAACAGGGGAAGAATGATCCTAATTAAAGAAATTAAAGTTCCTGAATTTGAGAAAGGAGTGGGGGAGAAAACAAATGATTAGCACAGTAGAGAGAAGGACACTGTGTTCTACTTTTCCAGAACAGAAAAATAGGAACAGTTCATGGTGTCAGAAATGGATTATCTCTTTGCCACTCACATGTTCGGAGACTAATTTGGCCTAGAGATCAAAAGATAAATGGCATGGTATATATTTTGGGAAATGCCCAGGTGATTGGCTCTGCATGGACATTATATTTGTTTAAATACTATTTTATTTATTTTAATTTTATGTGCACCATGTGTGTGCTTAGTGCCAGAGGAGGCCAGAAGAGGGCATCCGATCTCTTATGAGCTGTCACGTGGGTGCTGGAAAGGGAACTGAGCCACCTCTGGGGGCATTTCACACTGAAACCATAATAAAAAGTATTCTGGCAGGGCAGTGGGGGCACACGTCTTTAATCCCAGCACTCTGAAGACAGAGACAGATAGTTCTCTGAGTTCGAGGCCATCCTGGTCTACAGAGCGAGTTCTAGGACAGGCTCCAAAGCTACAGAGAAACCCTGTCTCGAAAACAAACAAACAAACAAAAAACCAAAATAAGTATTCTGGCAATCAGATTTAATAATTGGCAGAATATCGTATCTGTATTCAAGGGACACAAACAGTGACTGTTGCCATGAGTATGCGTGACTAACAAGAACGGAAAACGAAGTATCATGATTTGCATGTGGCATGTGCCCCATAGGCTCAGGTGTATGAACTTGATTTTCAGCTGGTTCATTCTCTGCTCCCTAACTGCTTGCCACCATGTGACCATCAGCCATGTCTTCTCTGCCATCATGGGCCGTCCCGCCCTGTTGGCAAGGACAAAACCTTCTTCCTGGAACTGCTTTGGCCAGGGGTCTTGTCACAGCGCCCCGTGTAAGGTGACAGAGAAAGCAAGGCCCCCTTCCTCAAAGGCCTGCTTACCACACAGCCACGCAGACTTCATGTGGCTTCTCGCAGATGGCCGTGATGCTGCAGTTGCTCATGCAGGACTTCTGGTTGTCACAAGTGGACAATCTCACGTCGCAAAACTTGCACAGTTGTGAAAGCTTGACGGCTCCGCCGTTGTCGCTGGTCATCATGTCACTGTTAACTGAGGAGAGAGAAAGGAAGAGCAAAGGGTTATTGAACTCCACACATGCACCTGGTGGCCTGAGTTAGAGCCCAGAGTGAGAAAGAGTGAAGCAACTCCTGAGCGGTGTCCTCTGACCTCCACACATATCACATGGTGCTATGTGTGCTTTCACCCTCCAGAACAAATAAGTCAACAAAAGAATGTGGAGGCAGCTGGTCACATCTGTATGCAGTCAGTAGGCAGAGAGGAAAGGAGCTCGTTAAAGATGTGGTTTGGAGTTGATGGAGTAAGGCAAAGCTTGTATGGATCCAACCAAGCAGAGGGACATCAACTCATGTTCTCTGTTGCACTAAGATTAGACACTCGGATTGCTAGTGGCTGCAGGACAGAAGCTGGCCTGGAGGAACAGGGAGGGACTTCTCCAAGAGGTCCCCCGGGAGAGGCCTGAGAAGGGCGGCATGTCCTCTCCCTGTGCTAGCTTTTCCTGCCCAGAGGATACCAGCTTCGGTTCCTCCCAGTCACTCTCCTTGGTGCACACTTTGGATTTCTGTCCTCGGCGGTTCACCCTGTGACCTCCTTTGTTGTTTGGGCACAACACCTGCTTCCTGGGTCTCTAAAAATACAAGCTTATATATTTAAGATCTGCTTTCTTGTGGTGACAGTAAACACAGAAGGAAAAAAAAAAACAAGCCCATTCATCCCTTTCAGGCCTCTAGTTCACTTCAGGAAGTGTATTTTTAGTTAAGAAACTATTTTGAAATCCTCAATGTCTCCCAGACTGTTCTGCTTAGCTAAAAATATAGGCATCAAGGGGCCCTGGGCCTTGTTTAAATTTGGTACCAACACAACAATGGATATACTTTTCTAGCAATGGTCATGTTTGGATCCTTTTGTGGAACAATGCTTTCGATTCCTTAGATTTTCCTATAAGATAACAAAATAAAGAAGTACAGGACTGGACTTTCTACAGTCAGGTTCTTTTATTGGTTTTGGCTTTGTCCTAAAAACCACATTATTTGCTGGTTAGGGGGCTCTGGTGGTCTCCTCAGCAGACAACCAAGTCTTTAGGAGATGGAATTTAGCCTAGCATTTGAAGATCTTAGGGCGGCTATCAGCTTCGCCTTTCTAGACAGTGCAGTATCAACACCTGAGCAACTGGAGAAACAGCAAAGCCTTGGGTGGCTTTCACATGTCCTGGCTGAATGGTTCACATAGCCTGGGTGTTGGGTTTGGTGTTTAGTCTTTTGGTTTGTTTTATTTATGTATTAAGTGTGACTGGCCCCCACAGGCTCATAGATTCGAATACTTGGTCCCCAGTTGGTGAAACTGGTGAGGATTAGGAGGTTCAGTCCAGTCTGGAGGAACTGGAGGCAGTGGGGGTTTCTCTGCCTTCTACATGTGGATCAAGGTATGAGTTCCCATAAGACTAGCATAGGCTACATGTGGATCAAGGTATGAGTTCCCATAAGACTAGCATAGGCTACATGTGGATCAAGGTATGAGTTCCCATAAGACTAGCATAGGCTACATGTGGATCAAGGTATGAGTTCCCATAAGACTAGCATAGGCTACATGTGGATCAAGGTATGAGTTCCCATAAGACTAGCATAGGCTACATGTGGATCAAGGTATGAGTTCCCATAGGACTAGCATAGGCTACATGTGGATCAAGGTATGAGTTCCCATAAGACTAGCATGGGCTACATGTGGATCAAGGTATGAGTTCCCATAAGACTAGCATAGGCTACATGTGGATCAAGGTATGAGTTCCCATAAGACTAGCATAGGCTACATGTGGATCAAGGTATGAGTTCCCATAAGACTAGCATAGGCTACATGTGGATCAAGGTATGAGTTCTCATAGGACTAGCATAGGCTACATGTGGATCAAGGTATGAGTTCCCATAGGACTAGCATGGGCTACATGTGGATCAAGGTATGAGTTCTCATAGGACTAGCATAGGCTACATGTGGATCAAGGTATGAGTTCCCATAAGACTAGCATAGGCTACATGTGACCCTGTCTTGAAAGCAAACCGAAAGCAAAACCTACAGTTAAGCAGTGGATGCGGTGCTGAAGGATGCGGTGCTTCTCAACAATGCTGGGAAGAAGTTCCCCTGTGAAAGCAGCCTGCAAAGACAAGGTTCACTCGCTTGCTTGACTCCTTTCCCATACTGACCAGTTCTTGTCTAGCAAAAGCCTAGACGTGGGAGGGAAGTGACAAAAGGCAGCAGTGACAACATAGCAGGAAAAGCAGTTGAGGCTGACGATGGCAGCAGCCACCAAACAGATGTGTTGACAAGGGTAAGTGCCTGGAAAGGTCTGGTGCCTGGAGCACATACCCAACAGGGAAGAAACAGAAGGGGCCATCCAAAAAAAAAATACAGAAAAGAAAGGAAGAAAGAAGGAAGGGAGAGAGGGAAGGAAAATGGGAGGGGAGGGGAAGAGAGAAGAGGGCAGAAAGGGGAAGGAGGAGGGACAGAAGGGAGAGGAAAGGGACGGACACTAGGACAGCAAGTCCCATCGCCCCTGATGCTACCTACAGCAGCCTGAGCTGACCAGGGCCTAGACATGCACACACAGATGCAGCAGGCATGTTGCCCTTCAAGGAGCTCCAAGGGGAAGTCTTTCCATTGAGTTTGGAGGGAAGGCAAACAGCTCCCACACCTCACATTTGGAAGCATGGGTATGTAAGGAGGAAGGCAGTGTGTAAGGGGAATGTGTGTTTGCTCAGTGCACTGTGTGCATTACGAAATAGGCTAGAGTTACAGCACGCCATCTCAATATCTGGCTGGGGACATGCTTTTTATTGTATTTTATTATTTTATTTTTCCACCATTATAGCAAAATAAAAGCTACCATTGTTAATGTTTGCCTAGGATATTTTCTTTCCTCCTCCTTCTCCTTAACTAGCTCCTTGGCTTCCTTTTTGTAAACTTTACTTGAGGCATGTCTGGTACAATTCACCCCCACCCAGTAACCCTATTATAGCTGATAAATGACACGCCCACTTTAACAATTCCATTAGTCCTCCCTCCCCCTGGAAGTCCATAACCCTTCTTTCTTTTTTTTAGGTCAACATCCTCTTTCCTTTATGTGACAGCAGCCCTCTGGGTTTGTGAAACTGTCCTAAGACAAATGCGGTCAGACTACAACACTATTCATCCTCTGTGCTTGTCTCAAGTCGTTCTGATAAAAGCTTCATGAATTCACTGTAGGATAGGCAGCAGAGACACACCAGCTTTTGTTCATGGTTTCAAGAGGTTCACAGACACCCTGGCAGCCTGTAAGCAACAAGTGAAGAATCCCAAGCCTCCCTCTGTGTTCTCAAGAATCCCTGAAGGTCTGGTTAACTCAGGAGGATGGATAAAACCGTACTGCTCACCCCACTCCTTAGGAAGAAATGATGCCACCAGGCTTGCAGCATCAAGCAGGAATTCCTTAGGTTTAATCTGTGATGTGTCAGGGGCCAAACGGACGGTAATGTGAGGAAATGCATCTAGATAAACAGCCCAGAACAAAGATATAATTCTAAGCAACCCAAGAAACTTCTCCTGGCCCAAGGAGATCCTGACTTCAGTCCCCAGACCCTATGTAAAAACACAAAACAATACAATAACAACAACAACAAAAACTGGGCACAATAGTAGAGTTGTCATCCTGTTGCTGGGAAGACAGTGACAGTTGATATCCTGGAGCTCATGGGCCAACTAACTTAGCCTCGCTGGCGAGATCCAGAAAGATGAGAGACCTCACTTCAAAACAGAAGTGAAATGGCCCCGAATAACAGCACCCAAGGTTATCTTCTGGCCTACACACACACACACACACACACTACATGTGTGTATCTGCAAATGCCTGTGTACCTCCTATATACACACACTAAAAAACCACCACCAAGACAACCTCTAACTAAAATTCAAGATGCCTTCCAATCAGATAGCTGAATTGGTCTCCGTGTGTTTAGTTAAAGTCCAAAGTTAAGGCAACATTTTAATTGCTACAGATGCTCTATTAGCAGCTGGCTATCCTTACGGAGTTTCCTACCCTTAGCAGGCAAATTAATGATTCAAAATGTTCTCAAAAAAGAAGTCGCAGTGAGAGGGCCTCTCACCTAGAAAGTATCACTCTGGCCTGCAAACAGGGACAGCTGTCACAGCATGTGACAGACTCACGAGGTCCATCATATTTCACTTCTCTTCCAACAAGCCTTTGAGTAATAGCAAACCCTTCACCCTGGGTCACACCATCATTCTCTGCATTTGCCCCACACTCACTGCCTGCAGCAGAGGCACTAAGTTCTGACCTTGAATGGAGCCATTGACTTCTAGAATAATTCTGTGGTCTAAGGCTCTATGAGGAGCAGCCTAAGAAGAAGTCTATTTTTAGTTGGGATTAAGACTTTTTGGTCCATGTCTTTGAAATGGTGTCTACCAGTAGTCTGGAAAGTTAGGGGAAGTCAGGATTTCACCAAGAGCACTTAACATTTTGCCAGACACATGTGCAAGTCACAGAACTTGGTCCTTCTTATTTATTAATATTGTGTGTGTGAGGTGTGGAAACAGCAAGCATGCCCCAGCATGGATACAGGCTAACTTTGCAGACTTGTTTCTCTCTTCCAGCTCTTCGCGGGTCTCAGGGATACAGCTAGGATCTTCAGGCTTGTACAATGACTTCTATCCGATGATCTATTTCACCATTATTCATTCATATGACTCTGAATTCATGCACTCCCCTATGATTGGCCAGGTTTGGGAAGAGCCTGATATAGCTCATTTACTCCATAGCCACCTGTGATGTCTGGCATGGTGCTGACGATTTCGTAATGTCATTGTTAGTGATGCAGTTAAAGCTCAAAGAATAGATCGCAGCAAGCCGTGAATAGAACTCGCTATGCTTTGCAACTGCTTGTCAAATATTAATATGCATGGGAAGCCCTGAAGGGAAACATTGAATCTGCAGGTGTGCGGCGTGCACTGCCTTGTGAGGCTGTAGAAGCTGGTGCAGCAGACCTTTG